CAAAAAAAAAAAAAAAAGTCTTTGCCCAAATGTCACCTCCTCAGTGAGGCCCACCTGGACTCCTGACACTGACATGCCTTCCTTTTTTAAAATTTGCGTATCTCAGCTTTATTGAGATATAATATTCGTACCATACAAGTCACCCATTTCAAGTATACAATTAAGTGCTTTTTAGTACTGTACTCACAGCAGGACACCGTTACCCCTTCACCACTATTTCCAAAACTCTTTTTTGTTTTTGAGTTGGAGTCTCACTCTGTCACCCAGACTGGAGTGCAGTGGCTGCTCCCGGCCACCGCAGCCTCGACCTGCTGAGTTCCGGCGATCCTTCCGCCTCAGCCTTCCAAGTAGCCGGAACTACAGGCGCACGCTGCCACACCCGGCTAATTTTTTGATTTATTGTAGAGATGAGGTCTCGCCAAGTTGCCCAGGCAGGTCTCGAACCCAAAACTTTTTTTTTTTGAGGCAAGGTCTCACTTGGTTGCCCAGGCTGAAGTGCAGTGGCATGATCATCACGGCCTCAACCTCCTGGGCTCAGGACATCCTTCTGTCTCAGCCTCCAGAGTAGCTGAGACTGATTACAGGTGTGGGCCACTATGCCTAGCCAGTGTTTTTTTTTTTTTTACTTTTTGTAGAGACAAGGTCTCACTATGTTGTCTACGCTGGTCTCAAACTCCTGGGATCAGGCGATCTTCGGGTCTCCGCCTTCAAAAGTGCTGGGATTACAGGAATCAGTCACTGTGCCTGGCCTGTTTCCAGAACATTTTCATCACCTATGAGCAGTCACTACCCATTTCCCTTCCTCTAGCCCCTGGCAACCACTCATCTACTTTCTGTCTCCGGATTTGCCCGCTCTGGATATTTTATAGAACTGGAATTATACAATGTAGAGTCTTTTGTGACTCACTTATCCTTTATTCTTGATGCTGTTTTTCCCCTAAACCTCTTATCATCCTCTACAATATTACATAATTTACTTTTATGCTTATTATTGATAATCCGTTTCCTCCCACTAGAATGGGAATTTCCAGTGCCTCGACCTCCTGGGCTCAGGCAATCCTTCCATCTCAGCCTCCCAAGTAGCATCACCACACTTGGCTAATTTTTTTAATTTCTATTTGTAAAGATGAGGTCTCGCTGTGAGGTCCAAGCTGGTCTTGAATCCTGGACTCAAATGATCCTTCCATCTTGGTATCCCTAAGTGCTGGGATTATAGGTGTGAGCCATTACGCCTGGCCTCAGTTTAAATGTCATCTTCTCAGACCCCTGAATACCCTGCTTCCCCTGTCTTTACGTCATTTCTTTCAAATAATGTATGTTCTTTACAGCTCTCTTCACACTTTACTTGCTCACTTGCAGAGTCTGGCTCCCTGTATAATTAGGCACTAATAAGCTGAAGCTCCTTGAAAGATCTTGTTTCTCCTGTCCAGCACAGTATCCTACCACCCAGAGTACTGCTGGGCACCCATGTGATGAATGAATGACTCCCAGTAGCACCAGAGTGAAAAGGCCTTGGGAGCAGAATGAGGCTGGACTGAGGGGGGCCTTGGGCCAAATCATGCTCACTCATATTCCTGTCCTCTTCCCCTTTCCAGCCAGCCTAGAGACCACAGCAGTACACAAGGTGTCCAGCTTAGAAAAGTTTAATTAACTGAGAACATTCAGGGCATGTACAGGACAGTTCCCAGGGGGCCTACACCCCCTTACTAGACCATCAGCCCTGTGATGTCCCCTTCTCCTGGCTTCAAGCCTGGGGAGCAGGCAACTGGTCCCAGGCCCCTGAGGCTGGTGCTGCTCCAGATAGCCTGGTAGGGGGTGGCCCCCAAGGCCCTTGAACTGGGGCAGCAGGCAAGATGGGGTGGCATGAAGTAACTGAAGGTGCTGGATGAGGCCTGCCCAGGCTGAGACCTGCCCAGGTCAGCAGAGGGAGCAGGGGAGACAGGGAGCCCAGGGCCTGCCTGGGGACATGCAGTTGGCTCCCCCACCCCCTACACCTCAGCTCCACATGCTATCAGGCAGCTGAGGAGAGGCAGCCCACCCCAGAGAAAGCAGAGGTGCAGACAACCCACGGGAGTTGCCGTGGGCCCAGAGGCTGTGTAAGTGCCCAGGGCCCACCAGAAGCCAGGGCGCTGGCATGAGGTGTGCCCAGGCCACAGAGGCATCTTCCAGCGTGAGGATGACATGTGAAGTGTGTGGGGCACCAGGTGGCTCTGGGATGTGGCAGCAGCAGGTGAGGCCAGAGGTGACAGGTGCGCAGGCTAGTCCTGGGGTGACATACCAAGAGGCAGGAAGGTGTTAAGAGGGCCTGGCAAGGTGGGCAGTGTGCATTGTGCAAGCAAGGGATGGTGCTGCCCACAGGAAGTCGGACCACTTGCCACTTACCCACTCATCCTCGTCCACACCTTCGAAGGAGTCCTGGGGGAGTGGGTCCTCCCGGTTCCCCAGCTTGGCCACCATGGCATTCAGCAGCTGAGACAGTGGCAGGAGAAGAATTGGAAAGGGTTCGGACTTCTCGACCCCAAGAACATCCGACACCCCAATTTTAGTTCTGACAATGCTGTGAAAAGAGCTATTTAAAAAAATTTTTTTATTTACTTTGAGTCAGAATCTCACTTTGTCATCCAGGTTGGAGTGCAGTGGCATGCTCACGGCCACCACAGCCTTGACCTGCTGGGTTCAGGTGATCCTTCCGCCTCAGTCTTCCAAGTAGTTGGAACTATGGGCACACACTACCATGCCCAGTTCCTTCTTTTTAAAATTTGTTTTTTATTTTAAAGACGGGAGTCTCGCTCTGTTGCTCAAACTGGAGTGTAGTGGTGGAACCATGTCTCACAGCAGCCTCAAATTTCTGGGCTCAGGCAATCCTCATGCCTCAGACTCCTGAGTAGCTGAAACTATAGGTACCACCACCACACCTGGTTAATTTTTTTATTTTTTGTAGAGTTGGGGGTCTCGCTATGGTACCCAGGCTGGCCTTGAACTCCTAGCCTCAAGTGAAAATCCTAGCCTTAGCCTCTGAAAATACTGGGATCACAGGCATGAGTCACAACTCCCAGTCAAAAGAGCCATTTAAAATAGAACCCTGAACAAGTTGATGGGCTTTCATTGAAAAAGACACAAAGGCCGGGCTTGGTGGCTCAGCCTGTAATCCCAGCACTTTGGGAGGCCGAGGTGAGTGGGTTGCCTGAGCCTGTGGGTTCGAGACCCGCCTGGGCAACTTGACGAGACCTCATCTCTACAATAAATCAAAAATTAGCCGGGCATGGTAGTGCATGCCTGTAGTTCCAGTTACTTGGAAGGCTGAGGCGGAAGGATCGCTGGAGCCCAGCAGGTCGAGGCTGCGGTGGCCGGGAATGGCCACTGCACTCCAGTCTGGGCGACAGAGCGAGACTCCAACTCAAAAAAAAAAGAAGACACAAAACAGAGACAGAGTCGTCAGACTGAGAGACTATGACATGTGGCAAGAGATACAGGTGCCACTGTCTCCATACATGGCGTCAAACGCTCAAATTTGATGGGTTCCAAATGTGCTCTGGCCCAGAACCTTTCGCTTTGGCTGGGTCCAGCCTGGCCAGGACAGGGCTCTCACTGCCCTCCCAGCTCCCTGTGACCCAGAGGCAGCGGTAAGTCAGCAGTCTAGAAGTTCTCCTCTCTGGGCTCTGGCATGGTGGGAGCATCTGGGCTGGGGCTGGAGACTTGAAGGACCATGGCCAGGCACACACAGGACCCCGTCCCCTCCACATGGCTGCTCTCTCCCATGCCTACCTCTTCCTTCTTTTGCTGGTCTGACTTCTCTTCCAGGTACTGTGCTGAGGATGGGGCTCGTCGGGCAGGGGCCTCACGGGGAGCTTGGCTCACTGGGGCAGGGCAAGAACAGGCATCAGAGTGTCCCCCGGATGGGGGCGCCTTGGTGCCAGGCCATGGGGGATTCTGCGGCACAGACTCAAGAGGCAGTATTAATAGCCACTGAAGCTTCGGTTCACAAGGACTGCCCTGGGCACTAGCGTGTGTGTGTGTGTGTGTGTGTGTGCGCGCGCGTGCACTACGGGTGGGGACTTGTGAGGGAATCACAGACAATGGGGCTTGTCCTCCAGGAGCTCAAAGACTGCATGTGGAGACACAGCCACTCCCCATCCTCAGGAGTGTCAGAGGTTTCTACCTGTCAGCAGGAGCAGAACTTGAACTTGGGCCTTCTGCCTCTTTCTCCAGTCCCCACTGATGTCCCTACTTCCTCCCTCTCACCCAGTCCTTCAATCCACCTGGGGTCATGTCGGGGGGCTGCAGACTGAGAAGTCGGGGCTGGCCGCTGGCACCTTGCAGCCAGGCCTGGGCACTGAGCACTGGTTCCCAGCTCACTGCTGTGTCTGGGAACACATCGTCCTGGAAAAATTCTTTCTGCAGGGGGAGGAAAGTGCTGTCCTGAGACATTGACCAGAGGCCCAGAGCACACTAGCATCTATCAGATGAAGGGGTGGCAAGACCTGGGGCCCTCCCCCAGTCCTGGGGTTGCCATGAATTTCAGAATCTCAGCAGAGTAAGACTTCCCCAAAGTACAATGGACGAGGAAGTCTGGGGGCAGGGGCAGACAGGACTCAAAGCTCCCACCAGGTAGCAGGAAGGAGGGCTGGGCAGTGGCCCCTAACCTCACCCTGACTCGGGGCAGCCGGAAGGCCACAGGCTCCAGTGAGGTTTGGCGCAGACGCAGGCATCGGGCAAACTCCACTTCCCGCACGTCGCACTCTGTCTTGGGCAGGAGGACGAAGCCCTGTGGGCAGCAAGGGAGTTGGAGCTGGAGTTCAGAGCTCATGGCTGGCACACCGCATCCCTGGGTGCTAGCATCTCTCATTAGACTACTAGGACAGTAACACACTATTAAGGTGAGCAAACTGGCTCTGGGAAGGAAAAAGCCCTGGTTTGTAGCATTGGTCTATTTTTCACGGAGCAAAAACTCCCCACCACAGCCAACTTCACACTACAGTGTAGTGTTTGGAAGAGATGAACAACCACATTGCCCGGTGGCAGATCCACCACATGGAGCCAACAGATGTATAAGACTTCAACAGCACCGATGTCAGGAAAATGGAATAAAATAATTAGGAAGTGACAAAATGAGTATTTACTACTTTGCTTTATTTTTATTTTTTTTATTTTTGAGTTGGAGTCTCACTCTGTCACCCAGACTGGAGTGCAGTGGCACGCTCCTGGCTACTGCAACCTCCACCTACTGGGCTCTGGCGATCCTTCTGCCTCAGCCTTCCAAGTAGCTGGAACTATAGGCATGCACTACCACACCTCTAATTTTTTATTTATTGTAGAGACGAGGTCTCACCAAGTTGCCTGGGTGGGTCTTGAACCCGCGGGCTCAGGCAATACACTCGCCTTGGCCTCCCAAAGTGCTGGGATTATAGGCTGAGCCACTGAGCCCGGCCTATTTTTATTATTTTTAGAGACAGAGTCTTGCTCTGTCATGCAGGCTGGAGAGGAGTGGTGTGATCATAGGTCACTGCGGCCTCGACTTCCTGAGCTCAAGTAGATCCTCCCGTCTCAGCCTTTCAAATAGCTGGGATTACAGTTGTGAGCCACTCACTCAAATTACCTTGATTTTCTTTATTTATTTACTTGAGTTGGGGGGGTTCTCACTGTTATCCAGGCAGGAGTGCAATGATACAATCACAGCTCACTGTAGCCTAGAACCTGGGCTCAAGTAATCCTTCTCAGATTCCAGAGTAGCTGGGACCACAGGTGTGTGCCACCACACCAGTTCATTTTTTTTATTTTTTGTAGAAATGAGGTCTGGCTATGTTACCCAGGCTGGTCTCAAACTCCTGGGCTCAAGCGATCCTCTCACCTCACCCTCCCAAAGTGCTGGAATTATAGGCATGAGCTTTTTTTTTTTTTTTTCTGAGTTGGAGCCTCACTCTTGTCACCCAGGCTGTAGTGCAGGGGCACGCTCATGGCCACCACAGCCTCGAGCTGCTGGGCTTAGGCGATCCTTCCACCTCAGCCTTTCCAAGTAGCTGGAACTACAGATGTACGCCACTATGCCCAGCTAGTTTTTGTGATTTATTGTAGAGACAAGGTCTCACCAAGTTGTCCAAGCTGGTTACGAACCCCTGAGCTCAGGCAATCCTCTTGCCTCGGCCTCCCAAAGTGCTGGATTACAGACTAGGCCACCATGCCCGGCCTACTTTGCTTTTTAATATATTTATTTCTAGAATCATATTTCAGGTTCATACTGCCTGACTTTACATAGTTTAATCTTTAATAATGGCTGGGTATAACAGCCACTCTCAAAATTCCTAGATAATCACCACCAGCTCCTGCTCACCGCAGGGTGTAGCCTGACCCCGGACTGACCCGCTGGCCCACAGGCTCCTGCACTTCCCCATATGGCCACGAGGGGGTGGGGCGGCCCTGTGGTCCCATCAGAGACCAGGTGTCAGGATGACCTTAACCTCACCTTGTGGGGGTCCTGTGATGTGAAGCTGTTGCACTCCAGGAAGAAAGGGGCTTCAGGGAGCAGCTCATACAGGAACACACGGGTGTCGCCCTGCAGGGGCAGAGGGCACTGTGGTGCCGGCCCAGCTGAGCCAGCCTTCCTCCCACCTCCTCTCACCTGTCACCACCCCCACCCAGCCCACCTTGCCCGTGAGAAGCACCAGGCCGGTGTCTGGGTCGTAGCTAGGCAGCAGGGTTGAGGGAGCCACGTCTAGGCCCAGCACTGCCAAGGGGCCACCTGCCAGGGCTTCAGTCGCATACAGGAGCAGCTGGCGTTCACTTCGGCTGCAATGGGGGCCCAGAGCAGAAGCAGGTCCTTAGAGCTGCAGGGGCTTGCGGCAGGACCAACTCCCATGTGGCCCCCAGTCTGCCCTGGGCCGTAGGAGGGCCTTGTTCGGCCCTCAGAACACTGGCCCCGTGCAGCAGCATCCTCCTTTGCTGATCTACCTTCCCTCCTCCCAGGCTACTGCCCCTGACCCTCCTCTGCACAGCCCTGGCCTTGGCCCCAACCCATGGTCACCGTGACCGCCTATATCTGGATTTCTCTCTCCACACTCTGCTTCCTGCCCTCTGCTCCGACGGGCTGGTCGGCTTCCTGGCCTTTCCACTCAGACTCGACTGCCCCTGCTTCAGGTCTCTGGTCAGCAGCCTCTTTATGACCCAGCTCAGAAGACGCTTCCCTTGGGAGGCCTTCCCTGATACTTCCTCCAGAACACCAGATGACCCTCTCTCAGGCCCCTCTAGGTGGCCTGGTTCTGTGTTTTCTGTGCCTCCCTGATCTGCATCCGGCATGGGCTCCTAGGAGCAGGGCCTAACTCTCATCCCCCTGGGCCCCATGTTGACTCTTCCTCCCTACTCACCCGCCCATCCATCCATCTACCCGCTCATCCATCTACCCACCTACACTCTCATTCATCCACTCATCCACCCATCCACCCACCCACCCACC